GGGCTATTCCGGCTTGTCCTGTGAGGTAAGCTAACTCCCACAAAACTGCTTTACAATAAAATAAAAGCTCAACCCACTTAACAAGACAAATGGAAGCATTCCCAGAACTACCTTTGCTACAATCAATTTTACTTTCATGCATACCCTTAGCCGATTTTCTTTCATCTTCCTCACAGAGTGAAAGGCAGTAGGAAGACGTTATTGCCGTCTAGTAGTAGGGATCATAATGACAAGAAATATCTGACAAAAAATTAAAAGATCTGTAAAAATTTAGAACAATCTAAGAATGGTTTTATAAAGCCCATTTGTTGTAACTGATCTATTTCCGTAGCGCCACTTCTGAAGAGTTAGAGCTACGTAGACCACAGAGATTATGAGATAGGATTACACTAGAATCTGAATGATTGTTTTCATACAGAATATGTCAAAAATTTATACATAGTGAGCTGTTTCCTTCAACATAGGCATCTCTGAAACACATGCATTTATTCCAACAGTGCTACTCTCATTCAGTCATTACATTTTAAAAATTACATTTTTTTTTTAATTTTAAGGGATATTCTTTTGACTCTTTGCAGAATTAGAAAATTTTCTAGACCATTCTCTTCTGGAAATAGATTTAATTTCTACAAATATTAAATATTAATCAGATCAGTAAGATACAGGGAAAGTTGGCATAGGAAAGTAAACAGCCTGGGTGTGAATCCCAACTTCACCGTATAGTAGGGCTGACACCTTGCCCAGGTTACTAAACCTCTTTAAACTTAAGCTGGAAAGTGTTCAAGCCCCTGAAGTGCCACTACAACACTTGCCCCTCTCCCGCAGACCCCACAGAACTCCCAGAGTCCGACAGATAAAGACTGGCATGGAAGGGGCATCTGGTGACTTCTCCAGCGCTGTAGCATGGATTGTTTCTCATTAGTCTTAAGAATCTTCATTCTTAGGAAGACTAAATGAGTTATGAATGTAAAGCACTCCTCACAATGCCTGGCACGTAGTCAGTGTTAGTTGTGTTTAATATTACTGTGATCACTAGTTATATATCCATGTATTGATTTATTTATAAGTAATCTTATACATCTTATTCTGTAAATAAGATTTCAGAAGTTTTATTAAGTATGGCACATGAGGCAGGTGATGACACTAGATCAACACTGAAGTAAAACTTAAAAACAATGTAAATAAATTTCTGGAGAGGTAGTATGGCATAACGGAAATGAAAAGGATTCAGTGACAGCTCCCTAGCTCCACCACTTGGACAGGTTACTTGCCTATGTGCTGAACCCCGGGTTCTTTATCTACAGAATCATCATGAGGGATAATTTAAATTAAAAAGTATGTGTGAAAGCCCCATTGTAAACTGAAGTTTAGTTACCATCCTACAGGTTCCACATTATTCAGAGAACAATTTCATAAGAATAACTGCAAGTATCTTGTGAAGCATCTTTGGCATAATTTTATAGCCTTGTGTGTGATTGCTCTGAAAGACAATATTCATTAGAATGTGTTCACTTTGATCTAATCACTAATTAAATAATCCATTTCATTATCAAATCATAACTCCTGTATGCATCTATATATACATTTATACAACATCAGTAAGTAGATATGTGCATATATATATGCACACTCCCAAATATACATATGCATATGAAGTGTATATGTGAAAAGTGAGAAAAAGTTTGGCACATAGAAAATATGCTGCCTTCCTAGTGAGCATGAAAGATTAAAATATAGAAAAGACAGAAAGAACTTAACATTTTTCTAGACACAAAATGAAATTTTGTTTATCCCAATGAGTGTTTGCCTATATGGCAAACTAACCGTGTGACTTTGGTCAATTCCTTTAATCGCTATAGGCCTTAGTTATAATACAGTTATTCAGTCAGCAAAACGACTGGTTGGATTTTGAGTTCTAAAATTCTCTAATTCTGCTATATTTTTGTGCTATGGAAGATATTGGTTAAGAGCTCCGCTGCTAACCAAAAGGCTGATAGTTCAAATCCACCAGCCGCTCCTTGGAAACCCCATGGGGCAGTTCTACTCTGTCCTATAGGGCCACTATGAGTCGGAATCAACTCTACAGCAATGGGTTAAGTGGGTTATGGAAGATATTCAGTAAGTAATCAAAGCTGACCTTTAGATATGTTGGAGAAAGTTCCTACAGCTATATTTTTTCTGCATTCATTTAAAATAATATTGTTGATTTATGAACAAAAAATATTAGTAGAGAATAATTTTAACGTGTTCTGCTTTCCATTCCAGACTTTAAATGTTTAAAACTCTTCTTACTGTGATCAATAGACTTTTTAAATATTATATTCTGGAATATGCTTTCCCATTAAGTTTAGTGATTTTAATAATTTTCCCATTAATTTTAGTAATTTATAATTTACATCTTATATGAAAATATAAATTAGCAAAAATAATGCAAATGATAGGTGAAAGAAATCAAAAGAAACTAGGAATACATACAAACTATTGTCTATATTGGTGGCCTCACCGATGTTGTATGAAATTCACTTAAGCTCCTATTTACTGATAATAATTACAGTAATATCTTAGTGGAGAGATTATGGAGATAAAGCCTT